ATTACTACTCTAATCTACCATTGTTCCAAATCTCCGTTGAACGGACAATATAGGGCCTGACTTACTACAAATCACGAGATCAAAATTGGTCGAGTACTTGAAGAATTGATCTGGGACTACTCTCTAGCGACGGGGTGGAGCTTGTGTACATAGAAGTGGTCTGAGACTTGTGACATGCGATGCGGATCAACCACGATCCGGGGGTAGCTTGCCCTAGACTAGGCCAGTCAAATGTGGCCTGCACCATTCCTTAGAAGGTTGAAAATCACCTAATAGGGGTCTAGGCTTAATTAGCCTAGACCCTAGACCCCTCTAGGATTGATAGTAAGGTATCTATACGGAGGAAACTTATAGCTAAGACCTCCACTGCCAAATGTCAATTTGCCATTTCAAGCGGGAAGTCTCTTCACCATACTACCTAACCGTACGGCCATGCTACCTGCCCTAGGATTTTATGCCCAAATATGAGCGAGAGCGAAAGTTAGTCCAGAGAAACCAAACCAACGGGTACATACTTTAGCTTCCCAAGGAACAATTACCTTACTTCCATCTTAAAAGAAAGCTCATATCAAACAACCAAGTAACCACACAATAGCAAGTGACGGGTGGTACAAGTCTGACAAAGACGAAAACACAATACCGGGGCTGCCTATAACCTCCGGCTCATTCAATGCCCCTTTCACGCCAGGAACCTCAACAGTACTTTCTACGAAGCTCCAGAGTAGGGCCTAGCCTTCTCTGGGTAACTGAACGTTGGGTCAGAGTAAGTCCCGTCACTGTTGTGGGTAACAGTCGCGATGACCTGGCCTGGCTTGGCCTTGGTGAAGTCAATTTCCGAGACCGCGCCGAGGGTAGTAATATCGACAGTAGTACCGGGTTTGTAGTTTCCAGTACTAACATAGTATTTGATGACGGGAGTGAGGTCGTACTTCTGGAAAGGCTTAGCTCGCCAAACAGCGACTGGAACAACTTGATTCTTGTCGTTGTACTTTCCGTATCCACAGTAGACCGTCTCTGTATAGGGGGTTAGTTTGGCACTGCCGTTCCCATAGGAGCACGGTAGGACTCACTGTACTGGTCTGGGTTGAATGGGTTGGTTTGGATACCGAAGGAATTATCCTTGTTAGTTGTGCCATATGGCTCAACGAATTGAGGGCCATCGTCGACAATGTCCATAAGTGGAGATGTGCCCGGCTTGTTTCTGGTTGTCAGCTCGACTGCGGCATAGTCGCTAGTAGAGACAACAACGCCGTAGTCAACTGGCTCTGGCGTTGTTCCACAAATGGCAAAATTAGCAACCTTGACATCGAACTCTGCTTTGCCCCTAGGAGATGGAACGCCAGGAGATCTGATCCAAACATTGGTATATATCTTCCCAACGGAAGACGACTCGTCAGGCTTTTGGTTGAAGAAGAGGTAGTTTTGTGTCTCCTCAGACTTGTTGAGGACATTAACGAAGTACTCGGCGGTGGACATTTTGAACTAAGGCTGCTGTCCCTCGGGATTTGTTCAATAATATGTGGCGAGAGAAGGTCTGGCTGGTCTGTGAAGAGGGAAGATGTCTGTGAAGCCCTTTTTTGGGTCGGGATGTTGGGATCTTAGTTATGCAGTTTGGTAGGAGCTGGGGAGAGATTCTTCCTCCATATACATAACCGCATGTGGTGCAGTGAGTGTGGCTGGCTCCACTCTTCCCTTCAATTCGCCCTAAATGTGGGCTGTCTGATGCATTCGTCCCCGGATGTCTAAGCCTATGTGCGCCATTGAAACATTATACTCCCGAACTTCATACCAGTACTAACAGGTGGCCTGATTTTACATCATAACAGCTCATTATTCTCGCAAACATATTGGTCGGGATCTAATATTCACGTCGATACAGACTAATTATCCACTGATAAGTACTAGATACTCCTGGGTTCCATGTTACTTTATCCCCTAGGAATCATTTTTAGACGGCTTTAGGTTTGGTGCGCACAGTTGACCAACTGTATTGTTGAGAATGATTGGGCAGGGTTTCTCAGCCGCACGATAAGGATGGCTGACGTATGCAGAGTAGAATGTAATACTGACGACAGCTACGGTTTGTAATAAAACATAGTGTACGGAGTAGGAAGTACATCGATGGGTAATAAACTATCAGAGCATTAGATGTTTAGTTCAAACAGCAACATTCTTTGCCTTAACCAGCATTTATACCCAAAAGTTACTTTTCGTTTTGAATCAGCAGGAATGCATTTTGTACATTTTCCGGCACTATCAAATGCATAGAGAATCTAGAGATAGATAGAAATACCTAGAGGTGTGGCCCTCGAAGATGGTGACCCTTGAGCGCAATAAACGTCTTTTGGTGCCACCCCTATGTGCCGCAATAGTAACTTTCCATGTGATGCTTTTCAGTATGCCCGACACTTTGTGAATCATTTGCTTCTCTTCTCCGCCTCTCGGAACATTCCCGTAGGTCTGGTTCACACTGCAATGGAATGCAGCGGCATTTTCTAACCTTCGGTCGGACCGCTTCCTGAGACTTATGTAGGTCGCAGCTACTTCTAACTGCACCTGTTTCGGCGAATTCCACACAGTCTCTATAGTAGATAGAATGAAAATCATATCTCTGCTCTCCCCTGCTCGCTACTTGGTGAACCCGTTAATACTTTGACTGTATATATAATTCTTCTATTACTTCTGCTGTAAAGTACCCCTTGCTCCACCCCAACTACTGTTCCATCGTCATCTGAGACAACCGGCACTCATGCCACTATTTGGGCATTCATTCAGCCTTTTTCTTCCCTCCCTTGTACTATGGCTTGTAAACTCCGTTGTTTTATATTTCGCTTCTTGGATATGTAGTGACTTATCATACCAACACGGGGATAATCCGACAGGCTGCTGTACATTACGCCATCCTGGCAACCCGCTTTCACGAAGGTTCTGCGCCTTCGAGCTCATGAGCCACATATTTTCTTTTCAGCGAATCATATAGCGTGCGAGTATGCTTTCCCTGTGGGGCAGTGTCTGTTAGTGGCTAGGAGAAAGCTTGATACGAGCCATATACTGAAATAACTGCGCCAAGGTGTAGGCTTACGCCTTTACATTTTGGCATAGCTGTTAACAGCGTCTATCTGCCTTGAGTATTTCTTGACTCTTTCTAGGGGCGTCCTCGTTTGCCACTACTTAACTGTCGCTAGTCTTTCTTATCTTCGTAGATCAGGCTTGATATAGTGGCGCATCTGGTTTGCATTCTACTTCAGTCGCCTTCCGGGCTGCAGCTTTGGCGTTCGGTCCTACACAAAAGTTCTCTTCTTCAGCTAGAACCTACATCACCTAGATAGAGTTGCCCTTGTCGTCAAGACGCTTGATATAGTCTTAGCTTTGCTGGAATGGTGTGTTGGCCGGATTGTTGTTGTGGCCGCTGTATTGCTATATCTTGCTGACATAGTACAGACGGTATATATCTCAGCGCCATCGCTATAGTTCCCAGCTCAGCTATGTATGGAGTTAGCCCCGCCCTCCACTCGAGAGTGACGAGTAGCTGGCCACAATCTCATCGGAATTATTAAGGGCTGTAGTTTGTATGGCAACCCACATGCCCACCCTACCACCTCTCTACAAGGGGAGCAGGTAGCAATCAGCATCTGTTCTGTCCTCCGCTTAATTGCACTGCTCCCGCACAAAGCACGCCCGCTCACATCGCCGTACTGTATCGATCAACATTGCGAGGCGTACATTTGGCCGAATGCCAAGATATTATGGTTATGTGTCACTGCCACTTGGACTGCTCCTGCCCAGCTACCAGAACCCACCGAGCAGAATTCTCATTCAATAATGCCAGGCTGGGCTATCATCTCAAAGTAGCATACTTTGCGATAAGCATAATACTACTATTAAAAATAACCATGCATTTTGCTGGAATAAGATGAGATAGGAAGAACAGAGTATCCGAGTCTCAGCAAATCCGATCATATACATTTGACATCAGATTTCTGCCTTGGCAATTTCAGAAGTGTCAGCACCGTGATGTCTGCTGTCACATGGGAGTCAGATTAAACTCAGGACCATTGCATCATCACTACCCCCATCTTTTAGCTCCAGCTGTAGCTATCAGTCCAGATCGAATTTATAGGAATGCAATCTCCATAGACCAAGGGATTCCAGACTCACAGATCATTCCATCGCAACGTATAAAACTCCCAATCCCCAATATGCGTAATACTACTTTGTTCATCTTGATGCAGCAGTCCATAAGTCTTGCATCATCTATCGCAAAGCTAGTCTCAGTAGGAATGGGATTATAGATATTATCAGAATAAGGTAGACAGACCTTCACGGGGCCTCCACGGGCCTTAGAGATCTGATCTGAGTTGGAGTGGAGCAAGATACTCTATAACACTTCAGGGATAGCTCAAAGATCAGTCTGGCAATTCGGAGAGGCTAGATCTACCGGAATAGTAGTCCTGTCTGGCAACTTAATTAAGATATCAACCTGATGCCCTGTGAATCTCGAGACTAAATAAAAAACTTGTTGTTATGAGCTGAGAAGCAAAGAAGCATAGTCGACAGATGGATGACCCGGTTAGAACTCTACTAGTACATGATCATTTCAGCGTGGCATTCTACTTCACTTGAACCGGGCTTCCTCCCATCCTGATCATTCCAACCAGGGCCCTTGGCGGGGAACTAGGGGGCTAAGCATGAAAAACCAAATTATGACGCGCATGTTATGCCTTTCCTTGCAGATCCATGCAAATATAAGACGCTCCATCTCCCACGCCACAGCCCTAATGAGCCAAAAAAAAAAAAAAAAAAAAAACAGGGAAAACTTATACCCTTACTCGTATTACAGATTTAAATCTTGTGTCGCGAAGTGCTCGTCAACTCCGCAAACAAGGCGTCTTCATCTTTTACCTCACCCGGCTCCATCAACATACTACCAGCATGCGCTTCACAAACAGTATCAGCCTCATACTAGCAATGGCGCTGTATTTGCACGGCGGTAGGACAAGCAACACCGGCGCTGATAAATTCCTAGCGGAACATACCGAGGTATCAGTGGGCCGAGATGCTCTCAATAAGGCACAGGCGGGCGTGAAAGGAGGAAACACGTTTACCGTCGTAAATAAACCAGTTAGCAACATGGTTATGGTTCAAGAATTTGATGCAGATACGAACGAGCGCCTGTTTGTGGTCGCTCTTATCGATGACCAGAAGGCTGAGGAATACTACCAAGAGTACAATCAAGATAGTGGTATCGGTCTGAAGTGTGGTGGAGCAGAGGATGAAGGGCCAAACCACTTCTTATTTGAGCGCGCGTCGAGATGCGGCCAATTCTGCGGTCGAGGCGACGATTGTACTGTAGACCAGCGGTGCCCCGCATGCAGATATGTAGGCGGTAATTGCCACTGGCAGCTGAACTGTGTAGCGAGAGACGAGCTCTAAGGCGCGCCCAACTATATGCTGTCTCATCAGTCCTGGGACCTATCCTTGGCTTGATCCCAACGCTTCTCGCGCGGCACCAGAGAATGATCTTCTGGCCCTCGATGAGATAAAGACGTGGCTGTTTGGATGGGTTAAGGTGAGGTTCCCAGGAGTCTAGAGCTAGGGCAATAAGTATGTCTAGGTTTAATCATCGTTTAGGGATGGTTATGTTGTAAGAATCGCTCTCTATTCTCATATAGATGGCATGTAGTTTCCCACAATTTACTGCTTTGATCAACGATATAACTCTTCAAAACCGGTACCTTTGGGCTCTTTGGGAACTCTGGACAACCGCAGAGAGGTGGATCTAGGGTGCAAGAGACCTGATGGTGCAATAAGATATTAGGCAGAGTATATAAAGTACTAGATAAAGTTAGGCATTATTATGAAGGGGTTAGGGACTAAAGTTTGGCTTTCCAACGCAACATGATCAAG